TTAATCTTTGATTATGTCACCATTTCAGTTTTTCCTATAATAGTGCTACTGTTATTTTCATAAATGATTATAAACTAAATAAATACTAATAATGAAATCTCTTAGGATTTCATTTTCTCATTTCTAAGATAAACAGGAGGTTACTATATGCTAAAATAAATTTAAAAAGTGCCATGTTCAACTTCTACTAACTGGAACAGACATTCCTTCCATATCAGGTAATATTAAGTATTGTATCATTCTAATAGGTTTTGTATGACTATCAGCATGAGTTTTCCGTAAATAAAAGCCAGATAATATATTGTAATATACATAATATAGCCTAAATATAGATTATACAAACATGCTATAAGTCTAGTAAAGAATTCTGGTGATGACATAAAACATGAGAGCAAAGCTCCAGCAATTTAATAATGTCACAAGGACCTGGAGGTAGAATGATAGGCTTAATTTATGTACCTTATTTATTATACATGGATTGCAATTAATGCTAGTGGAGCTGTTGAAAAGTGGCTAGAGGCTACCAGAAGCATTGATATACAGTAGTTATTTGAAACCATAAAGGCCACAGTACTGCTGAAAACCACTGCATGTCTTTAAAGCCACTCTCTCCAGATGTATTACTGCCTAAAATTTTTTTTCCATCAAATAACTGGGCAACACTTCAATCATATATTGTGTATTTTTTTCTTGGGCAAGTACAGTAGTCATTGTCAATAATACAGTATAAATTTCATGAATATAGGATTTTTAAAAAGCAAACTCAGGAATACAGATTATATTATTATACTTTATAATTATGCTTTTACTGAACCTAAAAGCATATGTGGCATATATATTGTTCAAAAGTTTTCCCCATTAACAAAGTTTATATTCAAGACTGTTCACCAGGCTTCATACAACTTCTAAAGTAAATACTGAAATCTCTGCTTTAATTCCATCTCCCAGCAAAATCTGAAATGACACTGGAGGGCGGGGGGGGGGTCCTACTGTCATGAGCATTTTTCTTTTTCCATATTTGAAAAGTTAACAGTACAACAAAGTGACATAAAACTAATAGATAATACAATTCCATGTTTCTTCACTTGACTTTGGATTTTTATAACTCCTCTTAAATATGGAAACAGGAATCATTTCTAGAGAGACAGGACTGAAACTGAAGCACATGTATTCATTTTCATCTGTTTTGTGAAATTTTACAGTCAGTTTTCAGTTGAACACAAACAATGAAATAATTATTTTATTTTATTAAATTACATGATGCATTTTGAAATCAGGTCATTCTGATTAACACCTTGCATCTTGTGTTTGTTTCCCACCACTCATAATTTAAGCTATTGCTCTCACACACGCTGAGAACAGATCTGAATGTTTTATATAGTTTGAAAAATAGGAATCAAGCATTTCAAAAGATATGCTTCATGTAATACAAGGTTCAACTTTGTGCTATTGGGGATAATGGGAGCTTTGCCACTGATTTTAGTGGGGCAAGATTAGACACCTATTTTCTTGCTATAGAATAGTTCTTATATTAGTGACCAGAGAGTTCAAATGAGAATTCAACTGGGATGAGAAGATGAGATACTGGACCTTAATTAATTTCTAATAACGGAGGTTTTAAAAAATATATGGTTAAGTCACATTAGATTGAAGTGTGCAAATCCAGGAAGAAGCAGGCCAAGCTTACATATGAGATTACCTTAAATATTATTCAAAGTCAGGAACAATTATATATATATTTTTCAGTCATTTGACTATTCAGAAGTTGGATTTACAGACTAAGAAAAATAAGTGCATTAATTAAACAACAATTTCTAGAAAAAAGTTGTATTTCTAATGCAGTGACCCAGAAGGTGACATGCAACAGACAAAGATCATCTCTTTGAAAATGGTTTATAATAGCTATTTTTACCCTTTCACATGCTCTTAATTTGTTAACCAATAAGCTGTTTATTTGGTCTGAATGGGCATCTATACATATGCTCTAGGGTGGAGGGAGGGGGCTTTTTAATTAGGGTGGCTCTCAGGAGCTGCTCTAATTAAAACTCTTGCAGCGTCTCATGTATTCAGCATACTATGTTTCAAAATGGCGGCAGGGGCACTTTAACTAAAGCTTGAGTAAAAATGCCCTATATGAACAATGTTTAAGGTGGGATGTGTCAAGAAAGGTATCCTGCAAAAATAAAAAATAGATTGTATGTTTTAGCTGACCTGCAATATTCACTCTTTTTTTTTTTAAATACTTAAATGAAATACTTTTAGTTGTACTTTATACTCCTTTACCTTCAACACATCCAGATGAATATTTGTACTACCCAGTAATCTTTTGTTTAATAATGTACTATTTCAGCAGCTACTGAATAAAGGAGGGCTGCTTGCCTAATTATCATCTTGTGTTACTTTACCTTCTGCCAAAAGAACCTCAACCTATGGATCCTTCATGATAGACAGTCTATACATAGTGGAATATCAGCAGTACATGTCACCCCCAACTCCAGTTCTGCCAGGAACACTGAAGCTAGCTAGTTGTTTTATAGCTAAAAAGGAATGGAAACACAACCTAGAGAAAAGGCTTGATAAAGATATGCATTAAGTCAGTGCACGTTGTACAGAACAACAGACAAGGCTCTGAAACTTAAAAGTGCTGTCCTTGGCACAAGCCTGAGAGAATGATAGCAGCAGCACTGCTAGCTTCACCCGAGTTCAACGCCCCAGCTGACACAAGTGTCCTTATCAGCAAAAAGGATGCAATTTACATTTCCTTATTCTTTAAAGTGTTTAAAGCTCACAGCATATATATTACCTACATTGGACAGACCATAAACTATATATTTACTGGATTCAAAATATAAAGGAAACTCCATTAGAGATTAACTGACGTTAAGAAAGGCTTGAATGCAGGACCCATGAAAGTTCTCCCGGCTACAATTTTCACTTATCGGGAAATGTGTTCTGGCAGGCAGTGATCTGATGGGGAAGTGACAGGAGAGGAACAAAAAAGGGGTGCTACTAATGAAAGCTCAGTTTCACCTACAGATCACTCCCTCTGTAACTGTAACAGGCCAATGGACTATTCTGGGACCATTCTTCTACCCACCCAGAACTGTCCTTTTGAAAAGACAATTTGGCAGCAGGCAGCCACCAATACATTCTCCTTTCTTTTTCCTCTCTATACCTGAGAGAAACAACACTTCAATCTATTTATTTAGTAACAGGCTGCCTTCTCCTAATGCATCAGTCAGCAAATTTTTCAGACTGCAGGCCAGAATGACCCAACTCAGGTCAGAGGCAGGCAGGCCCTAGGACCCACCTGCTGCTGTTTCTCTTTGCTATAGCCCAGGAAAAGTTCCTGCCATTGCTACTTCTCCCTACCAGGGTACAGGAGAAGCTCTCACTGCTGCATGCTGCCAAAACTCCACGTCCATAGACCAGATACAATGGCCCACAAGCCACAGGTTGCTGACCCCTGCCCTAATGCATTATTATAGAATTTGGTGACTTTTAAGAGAAAGATTTAATCTTTATTTCTTATTAAAATTAAGTTAGAACAGTCTTTTATAAATAGTTAACATTAGAGAATCTTTTTTGTATTATTTTATAAACAACAGCTCTACAGTTCAACACAGTCAGAATCCAATATGTCTTTAAGATTAAATGACTACTTGAATTATTTGGACCTTACGTATCTGGACTTAATTTCTGAACCATAATAAATGTGGTTATTAATCTGCATTATTAAGAGTTCAAGATTTTCACAAAAAATTGTCGGCTAATCAGATTTTCTCCAAAGTATCACACAGCTTTATAATGTATAATCAGTCTTTTGCTAAAAGGAGCTTGGTAAAACATTTGGTTAACTATCACAACAAATCATTATTAAGAAAGTTCTGCTAAATCCAAACTTTAGATATCTTAACAACTCACCCAAAACTTTTTTCAAGTTCATCAACCTCTAACATATTTTTTCTCTAAATACAGGCTGTTAGAGTGGTGCTTTCTTCCATCTGTTAACTACCGTGCTCTGAATTATATAGAAATGTAGCAGAGTAAAAGATTTAAGGAGTTTACATTTGGCTCAGTCCTTTTCCCACTGAAATCAATGACAAAATTCCCACTAAGCTCAATGGGTGTAACTCTGTAAATACTCTTATGAAGTGGCCAAAATCTGAAACAGTTATTCAGAGAAATTCACGCCGACTTCAAAGAGTTTTTGTTTACGGTCTAACAAAGGTCCTAGATTTGTCACTAGATGTTTACAAATAGCAGGAGATAAAGTGATACAGACAATCAAAAGGAATACCTGAGTATTTTGCAAAAGGAGATATTACAACAATTACTAAATCAGTAAGTGTACCTTTGGATTGTTCTATATTTGTATCTAATAATACAATTATATAACCAGTATGGATTGGGGAACATGGTCAAGGATGGAATAAGCCCATAAAGAGCCTAGCCTGACAATGTTTGACATGCCATCTTGGTTTTTTTGCACCAAAACAAATGAGGGAAATGCTGCTTTCCTACACATCTTCCCTCTATTCATCTACTGCTACATTATGCACACTGTTTAAATTCTGATTAAGTATAGCTCCATAATTTACAATCAATATTTTAGTTCATTATTTTACAATACTTTCAATTAATAAATATGAAGCATCAAAATTTCTCAACCAATTCGCAGTGTATTGTTAGATACTTATGTGACATAATAAAGACTTTACCTAATAAATTAAATTCTTAAATATTTATCATTAGGTTTTTTTGAAAGTATATTTTTAAGTACTAGACTGGCTTTTTCCATATTAGTAATTTCTGCCGCACCTGTTCAAATTTCTGGGTATTTTATTTATCATACTCCTGAAAGTCACACACTTGTCATACTCCTGAAAGTTGCGCATGCAGTCAATGACTATAAGTATCTGTAGCAGCTGTGGAGAGGTCTGTGGCAAAAATTAACAGAATGAAATTGGTGCTATGGCATGTAATAGGATAAGGGGTACCTGGTGAGGTGCAGTTGGTGCTCAGATTTACTCAGCAGTTCTGTCAGTTTTAGGCACTCGTCTTTGGCTCTAGATGCATCCTGCTGTGCTTGTTCCAAACGCTGTTTGCTTTCATTCAGCTCTAAACCCAGTTTCTCTATTTCCTTAAAAATGCATATAATCAAAGAAGTATTTAGGCAATATATGTAGTGAAGACAATGAAACTCAGTAGAAAAATAAAGCATGTTTTTAGTTGTATGAAAAAGGAAACAAGAGTGGTTTGTAAAAATAAAAATGAATTTAACATAAGATTATGAAACAAAAACAAAAAAGGTAGAAGAAACTAAATTATCACAGTGGATACATTTTATTAAAACTTATTTCATAATATTATATTTTTAATTAAATGTTATTGTACATATAGTGTATAAGTTTGAGAGATGTGCCAACCCTGTAATTTCTCCTTTTCCTGTATAAAAGAATTCAGTTACCCCATACTCTTTATATGATCAACTAGTTAAAGCCATCCATCATTTACTATATTAATATAATATTATACTATATAAGGCATTCAGGTGCTTTTTTATATTTTATGTCCATTCAGACAAAAACTTAATTATGGCCTGATCCTGCAAAATATATCTTTATATAACTAAGGCTTATATATCTAATAAACTAAATATGTGAATTAAATCAATTAGATTACTGATATATTTTATGCACTTAAACTTATCTGAAGGACTGGGGTCTTTGTTTCCCATGCAGACATATTCAAATTAATATATATGTCTCTAGGCACACAAAGTTTTCAAGAAATAATAATTTCCAACACTAACAACACTTGCAAAGCAGAAAAAGAACATCTTTTGGATCTAATTGAGTATTTGAGCTCCTATAAAGGGACTTTTATGTCACAAAACTGCACTTCATCATTAAGGGTTTGTCTGCACAAGTTTATTAGTTACCTTTGACCATTTAAGTGACTTCATTTCTAAAGGGGCACACCCTAAAAGAACAAAGTTATTCCTCACATGGAGTTAGAGTTTCTTTATCATGAAATAGCTATTTCACTTAAGATTCACACTCTAGCTCGGCAGTTGAATTCGAGGCATCCCTTGTTGGACTTGGAGGGACTCCTCAGAAAATACCAGTCTTCATTAGTTTTTTTTTCACTAGTTCTGTAGCACATGCTATAGAAAAAGAACAGAGCAATTCTTCTGTTGAGAAGAACTCAAAAAATCCACAATATGTCAGAACATTTTAAACATTATTTCCTACTTGAAATCACTGGGTTTATCTTGTGAATCATGTTTGCACACCTGAGTGTGCTAACATTGTACAGCATCCCCCAGCATCTTTGAGAGGATCTCAAGGTAAATCAATCACGGTACAGCAACACCCTGGTTGAGAACCACTGCCCTACTTTTTCTCTACTATATTCTTCATATAGACAATGTTCTCTTTCAGTTTATTTTAAAGGCCACTTAAACATCCAAAAAGAATAAATTAATGCATTTCAGTGCCAGTATTTGCTTTTTAAACAACTTCATAATTATGTTGTTCCCATTTCTTCCACAGAAATGTTAGCCCAAATCATTTACAGTACGTTGTGATGCCTCAGGCAAATGCAATCTCTATGTCCAAAGAGGTTTCACTGTTCATTTTTAGACATGAAAGTACTTTTGCATTTCTGGTATTCAGAATTACAGAATTAAGGTTGTTAAATTATATTGCATGAAGGAAGCCAGGTTAGCATCCAACTACAGATAGCATTATATAAAACACATTTATAAAAAAAAAAAAGTATAATACATATAGTAAGCAATTATTAGTTTTAACACAAATGTCTGAAAACAACTTGGGAAACTGCAAAACATTTCTTTTCCTTTATGCTGTAAGAATAATATTTTAAACTCAAGCTAGATAAGCATTTTTTAATCTTAGTAAGAAGCTAATATATCTCAGTTTTATGGAATACTAAAGTCTCAATAAATACACTATGCTGTGTTCTAGCTAACAGCTCAATTCACTGTTTGGTTTCTCCCCAGTTCAACCTATTTGTGTATTTGTCTGAAGAGAAATAGAGTCCTTCCCATCTTTAGTGAATAAGCAACACTTCTGCAATGTATTATTTAAACATACACACACAAAATCATGCCTGGGCACAGCTTTTCTTTTAAAAAAAGAAAAGAAATAACTAAATATTTGAAAAGCTCAGATTTTAAGCCATGAAAATAAATACCCCTTCAGGGAAAAACCCAAGCAAACAGATGGGCTTTACATCATCCTCTGGAGGTAAATAGGCTAGGGTTCTGTCAAACCAACAGGAGAAGCAAATTCCAAAGTAAAAGCATCTCTGCTAAAAATCCTCTCCCTCCATCTGCCAGATGTTTAAACTGAGGGACTGTAGTCAGGAACATATCAGCTGATCTCAATTGTCATGTGGGTGCCTGAGGACAGAAGCAGCTTCTCAAAGCAGTTGGGTTTCAAACCACAAAACCATAACAGGGACTTAAAAACAGTATGAGTCCCAATACTTCTAAGCAGAAGCCATGATTAAGTCAGTGTAGTCTCTGAAGTAATGACATATTTTCCATCTACTGTTCATCACTAAGCAAGCATATTCAATCATTCTAAACTACTAAACATTTCCAAAAGGTCTACAGGGGTAATCCTATGTAGACAGCAGTGCACTGACCTGAATACAACTCAGAGGCATAGACCAGGGGTTGTCAACTGGGAGTATGTGTACTCCTGGGGGTACTTGAGAAGGCCCTAGGGGGTATGGGCAGGTGGGTGGGGACAGCTTGCCACCACACACCATCCCATGCTGCCACGCAGGTGCCACCCACCCGGCCATACACAGGGGTGGGAAAAGCTCACACGCAGTGACTGCTGCCATGCTGCATCTGGCTGTGCAACCCGCAGTGTCTGGCCACGTGCCATCCCCACTCTGATCCATGTCGAGCTGCCGGGGTACACTGCTCCGCGTCTGGCCACCGGGGATACACTGCTTCAAAAAGGTTGAAAATCCCTGGCATAGACAACTGTTGCAAAAGCCATGTCCAAAACAGCCATAGTCAGAATAGCAAAAAGAAAAGATAAAAAAGGCACCAAGGGACATAGGACCAACAAAGACACCCACAACAACTGGGGAGCCTGAAGTATCCCTGAAGTTATTTGGACTGAGTCTCAGTGAACTCATCTCAGCCAAATACAACTGAGGATTGACCAATTTAAAAAAAAGAAAAATAAGTATCTGTTTTAGACCTTTGCATTGTCATCATCCTGAAGGCACTGCAACCCAAACTGTGTATACTATGAATGACCTTGGTGTAAGAATTTATACAGCAGTTTCCGATAGTACAATGCATGTCACTTCTTCAGACCAGTTTACGCAGCCAAGAAACATTGTCCTGAGCAACTGTATAAACTGGCTGTGCACCAGATCAACAAACCCCAAAGACTATTGGTCCAGTGTGCCAAGGTGTTCTGGAGGGTACTATATGTATGGTTGTAATGTTTTGGGGGCAAGAGAAACTTCTGCAAATGCTCGCTCTTTCTGCCTCACTCCTACTTCTTTCCCTTTCCAAGAAAACATGAGTTACCTTCATACAACTCAATCATGGGTTAAAAGAAGTTACAACTGCTTAGGTTCTTATGTTTTTTTCCTCCCCAGAGGACTGGAATGGGCTTTGTTTGGTTGGGGTTTGATTCCTCTTACTCCCACTTGCTAAGATCATATATTTAGCTAGTGATACTACATAGAGCAGGGGTGTGCAAAATATGGCCCGCGGGCCAGATCCGGCCTGCCATGCCATTCTATCTGGCCTGCTGGGCCCCTAAAAATTTAAAAAATTATTATCTGTACCTGGTTGCCTGTTAAAGGTGATGACAAGGTGCCAGTGGCAACGGGACCCAGCAGCAGCAGCAAAGCCCAGCCATCCCTGCACAACCCCCAGCCCCCACCACTGGAAGCTTATGCCTAGGAGAGGCTTCTGGCCTGGGACCCTGTGGCTGTTTCCCGTCTCCCTCCATCCAAGAGGGAAACTCTGATAAGAACAGGAGGAGAGAGCGGGTGCTGGGAAGGATTGTTAGTGCAACAGGAGAAGGGAAGTGCCTGGGGAATCGCAGCAGTGGTGGGGGGAGGGAGGGAGAAGAGGTAGCGCAGGGACCATACCAGTGCCCCGGGGCCAGGGCTGGCAGGAGCCCAAGGCAAGGTGGCAGGAGCGCAGAGCCCAGGTTAGCAGGAGCTCTATGGAGCCAGACTTCTCCTTGCTGGTGGCCTGGCCACATGCAATCTTGAGGCTTGCCAGAATCATGCACTGCCGGAGGTCTACACCTGTGGCGGGCCATGAGCACTCCAAGGCCTCGCTGCCTGGTGCTGCCACTGGTGGCAGGGGCTGTGCACAGTGAGGGAAGGGGGCATGTTTGTAGGGGTGGTCCCACACAAACACCCCACCATACATATGTATCCACACCCCACCTTGCACTGCCATACACATGCACCCACACCCCCGCACAGACCCCAGCCACACTTCCTCCCACACACCTCATATCCACCCACATCCACACACAGCCACACCCCCAAAAAACCCATACACACACACCCATACCCAAACACCCACCCACATCCCCTGTTCACACCCACACATACTCTCCACATGCCTCCATACCCCCCCCACAATATACAAAAGTAAGATTTCATTTTAAGCTATTATGCAAACATTTCTATGTACACTATGCATAAATGCTGCATGCCCCCGGAGGCTGGGGGGGCATGGCAAGCTCCTACAGGTGGTGATGGTGCTGTCAGCAGTGGGGGGGATGGCGAGAGTGTGGTGGGGGGTGGGAGTGTGGCTATGGCACTGTTGGTGGTGGGGGTGGGAGGTGGTGAGTGTCGGCCAGTGGTCAGCAACCACCCACAGATGCCACCGGCAATCATAGACCACCTGCAGACGCCACCAGCAGTGTCGGTGCCGAGGGGGAGGTGGCGAGTGGCGACTGCCTCCAAGCAGCACTGGCGGTGTCAGCAGTGCCTTTTCGCAAGGGGTGCACATGCACCCATGTGCACCCCCTATGTGTCGCCAATGACACTACACAGATAAATCAGGGGAAAAATTAATGTATATTGTTTGATTTTTAGAATATAATTTGTTTTTTT